GACCATTACCCAACTTAGGTGCAGGCATTGGGACACTGTGGTCTAGAAGCAGAATGGCCAAGTCTAGACCGCTGCATTGACACATCCCAACCCTGGGAACAAAGAAAAAGAAAAAAAATTGCCTCCAAGGCCTCAAATCCAACCGCAACCAAAATAGCCAACTAACTAACAACCAAGTACCAAAACAGAAAAACAATGAGAAACTACCCCCATTACCTCCTATGCTACGCAAAGAAACTGTAAAGGCTAACTATCAATCCTACTACAATCTCTAACCGCCTAACCCGGCGGCACTGACCTTGACCTGGCGCTCCCACCACAATACATTCACTCAACCAAGTCTATAACGACTTGTACAACCAGAGAAACAGGTTGATAGCCCCAATGTCCCACAGCCCGTCTACTGCGACTCCTGCAACCGAGCAGCCCAGGTTGAGATTGCTACACCTAAGCTTTAAACAGTCATTGGGCCAAACACAATTGCCCCTTCTCATCGATCGACGCAAAGGATCTGTTCAGGCACCATGTTTCTCTGAACCACATTCTCCCAGTACCGCTTTTACCTGATTTGGCGACCTTTCGTCGCCAGTCCACTTGAATGGCTCTTCTCAACTGTTGCATTGTAGAGCCTCTGATCTGCGCATTGGTCCACTGTTTCCCTTTGAATACCTGGTCATTTCATCCCTGCCAAATAACTGAGAACACAACTGCTCTGGCCGATTGGCCCATGTAACCCCATCCTTTTGCAAGCGGGGTACCATCCGGAACCCCTCCCAATAGACTCCATTTCTTATCCCACTCAAATGATTGACCTGGTAAACTATTTCATACATTAATCCACCAACTCCAAATTCGAGCCGAGGCGGGACAGTCCCACCACAAGTGGATCGTAGATTCAAAGGCCCATTCAAACCTCAAACACTTCAGATCAATTTCCAATTGTCTGGCAGCGAGCCACACCGCCGAAGGGGTAGCCATCATAGAGAGTAGCCACAGAATCGAGGCTTGTCTTTGACAGACAATCAGCTTCAGCTGTTTCCAACAGTTGAGCAGAGCCTGATCAATGATTTCAGGATCTATGTCTATGATTGCCATCCATCTCGTTCTTGCCACAGTCAAGGGGTCCTTCCGAGCAAGGACGTATTTGTAGCCTACCTTCGGGGTGTAATCCAAAATTCTCAAGTTTTTCCCGGATTTTCCAAGAGCTCTCCACTCCCACATATAGGGATCTAACTTCATATTCTCCACCGGTGTGCCCTTCTGGATCACCTCGCATCCTTGGGGCCCATACATTCTACTCCGTTCATTTACGCGAACCTGCGTAAATGTGGAGTAAGTTGCAACAGACAAGACTTTTGGCTAACCTGCCAACCTTGGAGAAGTCGTTTCCCGTCAGGTAGATACTCTATAATTTTCCATAGCTTCGATTGATCTCCATTTGTGCTCACTAGCCAGGACCCTGCCGGATCCACTGCGTTCGGGCCCAACTGGTATTTTCAATGAGACGGGATTGCGTCTAACACATAGGCCAGTTTCAAGCTGAGATTCCTCACATTGCCAAGTGTACACCTCAACTGAGATTCAGATTTCCATGTTCCCTGAATTTGGTCCCAGAGGTCCTGCACTCTGAGAACACCCCGTTCAATCCACTTACAGCAAAAGTTATTTCTATCTGCCTTGATCCATTCCCCATCCCGAGAACGGATGTGAGGATTTTCAAATAATGGTTGCATCAGTATTTCAGCCTTCGTTGTTGGTTCCACCCACACGTCCGGCCTGAGTTTCTTCCAAGCGAAGATGATTGCCTTCCAAAATGGAGATTTTATTTGTCTTCTCTGGAAGGACTGGAGCATTAAGCAAAGCCAAACATTATTCGGTCTGGTCAACTCTCATTCTTTTGCCAGAATGTGTTCAGCCATGATGACCCAATGCGGAGCAGGGGATAACTGACTAGCATTAATCAGCCACCGAATAAGCATGGCATTGTTCTGTTTTTTCGGGTCCAAGATCCCCAAGCCCCCTTGGGTCCTCGGAGTGCAAAGCATCTCCCGTGCTACCTTAGAGATGAAAGAATCCTCATCTGTAGCATATGGTTTCCAAAGAAATTTGGCAGCTCGCTTTTTAGTGAGTGAGTACGTTGTGACCCTAAAGCCCTAACTATTCCCACAAACCACAGCAATACAAATAGGCCCCCATTAATGACTAAGGCTCTTCCTGATAACGATAAATGAGGCGCCTTACCCCATGTTACCATTCTTTGCATCGATTTTTGTAACAATACATCATCTTGATCACCCGAGCAATCCAAGAGGGAAATTTGGACACCTAAGAAACGTTCCGACAGTTCATCTGTTATACGATTCATTCCCCATTCACAAGTGAATGAGAAGTTAGCAGGGAGCAGGAATACCGATTTGTGCCAATTGACTGAGGCTTCAGACAGATCGCAGTAGCTAGCTAGTTCAGCCCTCAACGCTCCCAGTGATTCTGCTGTGTTCTCTAAAAGAACAAACAGGTCGTCAGCCAGCGCCTTCACCTTGCACTGGGACGGTCCCAGAGTAAGACCACTGATTCTCTCCTGTCTTCTAATATTATTCAGTAGTACCTCCATTTGAACTGCAAATAAGAGCGGGGCAAGAGGACAACCTTGTCTTAATGACCTTGTAAGAGGAAACGTCTCAGATAAATGGCCATTAATCATTACCGCAGTTGTTGACAATGTGTACATAGCTACTATCCATCTGCGAAAGTTGGACCCAAATCCTATAATTTTTAGGGTTGTTAAGACATATGACCAGTTTACTCGGTCATATGCTTTTTCCAGGTTAAGAAGGAGCACAGCCACATTTAAGGAGTCATTCTGTATGAGCTCCAGGGATTCAATGGTTGTAACTATATTGTCAAATATGGACCTGCCTTGAACGAAGGCCGCCTGGTCGCTTTGGACCAGGTCAACGAGATATCTACCCAATCTTCTGGCCAAGATTTTAGCCAGTTATTTATACGATACATTCAAGACTGATATAGGTCTCCAATTTCGGATCTCCGTCCGATCACCCTTCTTAAATAACACAGAAATGACTCCTTGGTGCATATTGGCAGACATATTAGAACCCAGTAGTATATCATTATAGATTTCAATCAGGCTACTTCCCACCGAGTCCAAATTTTAATATACAGTTTCACCGGGAGCCCATCGTCCCCGGGTACTTTGCCTTTCGACATAGCTTTGAGGGTTTCTAGTGCTTCCTCCGGTGTGATTGGCCTGTCCATGTCCAGGCGCCCCGGCGTCGAAATTCTAACCGAGGTACCATCCCAATGCCCGCAGTCTACGTCCAGGTCCTCGGTGACTTCCGCGCCCTGCAATCTTGAGGTGAGTATGTCTTTGTAGTAAGTGGCAGCGTATTCACACACATTTGTAAGTTCTCTTGCTCTTGGGGCATCTGAGTCAAACGGATGTTGGAGGTCTCTCATCTGTATAGTCGAGCGTCGAGGTAGAAGTTTATGGAATGATTTCTTGGTCATGCGGTCATAGACCCCAATACCCTTGATCATTAACCGCTCCGACCAAATGTATGAGTTTCTTTTTTGCATATCCTCCCATTCCAACATCAACTTCGCTCTTTCCTTTCCCCAGATCAGATTTGACACCGGATGTTCCGACATTCTTTGCTCAGCATAACAGATTCTCTATTTGATTTCCGTTGCCTTTGAGCGGTTAGATGCCATAATTCTAGAAAAAACGTTAAGCAAGTTCGAGAACATTTTGGAGCCTGAATTCCACCATTGTTCCTGAGTAGAGAAATTATCTCTTGATTGCTCCCAGTCCGTCCAGAATAGTCGCATCCATTCAACAAGACCTGGATCTTCCAAATTCACAGTGTTAAACCGAAATAGGCCCTTACTTCTTACCAAGGTAGAGGAGGTAATAGACATCCTCACCGGTTTATGATCTAACAAGGACTGTAACGCTTCCGATACCTCATTGACCGAATTCCACAAGCCAGAGAAGATTAAGAAATAATCTAACCGCCGAGTTGTGGTACCTGTATTATCTCTGTAATTCGAAAACCAGGTAAGTCCTAACAGATCTGGATGAGTCAATCTGTATGGATCAATCAGGTTAAACTCATTCATCAGAGTTAATAGTGCTTCCTTATTTCGAGTCTCATCCTGTCTAGACGAGGTAGCGTCCAAAGAGGTATTCCAATCAGCAGCTAGAATAAGGCGGTCGCAGTCCGGAATCACATAGAGCAGTTCATCAAAGAAATATATTCGTTCTGAGCGAATTACAGGAGCATAAATAGAAGCAACAATCCATTCTTCCTCGTTCATACAAAATTTCACCCAACACCATCTGCCCCACAGGTCAGCGTAGAAATCAATAATTTCCAAGTCTATGTCCCTGTGGATCAGAATAACTGTGCTTCCTCTTGAGCCAATGGCGGGGGACCAAATCTGTGGACCATCCCACCAATGTCCTAAGAAGTTAATCTTGTCCTCGTTTAACTTGGTTTCTTGTAGGCAAGCAAGATGGCATTTCTTCTCATGCAACCACCCTTTCAACCTATCCCGTTTGTGTCTCTTAGTGGTGTCCCCTAAGCCTCTCAGGTTCCACGTAATCAAGTTAAATTTGGACATCCCCGGCAACCCCTCCTGCTAAGGATTGGATTCCGGAGGTGGGGTGAGTTGGCACCCATGGGGCGGTAATACTGTTTTTGAAGAACTGCGAGTTCAATTTCTTCGCGCTGGGTAACCTTCCCTCAATCTCTCCCAACAATTCTGCCGAAAAGTACGGAGGGATTCTGACACGCGACAATTCCTGTCTTCTCTTCTCGTACAACCATTCAATCGGGAGTAATCTCAAACCCTCAACCTCCAATGCTTCCAATTGATCTTGGTCAAAACGCACATCAAATATAGGGACAAAAAAATTCAGCTTCCTATCAGGGGTTTTCGGATGATCTGTTATCAACCGAACCATCAACTCACCCGACATCCACCGGAATAGAAATTTATTCCTAATCGTAGTACGTACAAGAGTGAAAATAGAGGATGGCATGGGCTGTTCCGGAGCAGCGAGATTGACCAGAGCAGGCGATCCTTCGGAGCCTACAAAGGCAATCCACCACAGATTATTACGTACAGCCGTACAAAATATCGGGAGAATCCTTACCTCCAGGTCCTGGATTTGACCCCTTTGTAGAGTTGTCGGCATTCGCCTCCTCGTAGTCTTGGTACCAGGGGTACCAACTACAGACATCAGTGAGTTTCAGACCCCTGAGGGGACAGCAAGTCTTTGTTCCTATGCAGAGAAGAGGTTGAAACATTCCCTTTCAGGCGTCGTTGTTTTCCGAAGGATAATCGTCTGTCGTCTTGGCCTGCTGGAACTGAAGTCGAAGCCTCCGGTCTGACTGCTTGAAGGTTTTTAACCTCCGTTGGTCTCGGCGGCTGGTTCAGCTCTTAAGGCACTCTGCTTGTTCCTTGCTTCGTTAGACCTCTTGCTGGCTGCGGCGTGGTTGTTTCTCGTGGAAGAGGAACTCCTCCCATTCTGAACTCTTCAAAGGGCGCAAAGGCCGAAGTGGTACTGACATATTGCTGCATGACTGTATGCGCCATCCACGAGGAGTGGCTTGCCAAACCAAGAGGGTGGTAGAAGTTCCCGCTTGGCATCGCCTGTAGTCCAAGAGAAAATAACGGATTGTTATTTAACTGTCCTGGATTAAGATTTCCAGGAAGAAAGCTCGACGGGTTGCCTAAAGAGATAGGCTGTTGTCTCACTCCTTGTGCAAACAGACCTTGGCCCAGGGTGACTCTCTCCGACCCCAATGGAGCGTTAACTCCTTCTTGTCCTGGCACCGAGGTTGCCGAAACTCCTTCGCCTCCCGCCTGCGACGTCCCCCCCACTTCATTTGGAACTGCCCCCCCCGGGGCTCCTTGTCCTCCCATCGGTCTCATCACTCCCTGATACTGTGGTCGACTTGCAGATGACGCCTGTCCTTGTTGATATTGTGAGCCATGTCCTTGTTGCTGGTTTCTTCTACACTCCGCATCCGAATGAAAAAAGGCTTTACATGTTCTGCATCTAGGCGTGCCTGCGGAAGCCAATCTGACCTCCAACTCATCTCCTTCGCAAGTCTCCATCCAGATCTTATCCTTCATGTTGTCCTTCGTAGAAGGATCGATGTCAAATTTGACATTGATGAGAGCTGGCTTCTGACAGTCTTGTTCCACTGGATGCGTACGCAAAATCGGCCCGATTGCTCGTGCTATCTGCGCCTGCAAGTAGAAAAAAGCGTCCAGAGGTACTTGGACCGCAGTCACCCAAAACACCGAATCATCTTCCTCCAGTCTCTGGGCGCGCAATTGAGCTTTCGTAAGCCATGGCTTAAATTCGAGAACATACCGATTCGTGCCAATCGTGAGTTCGTCCCTACCTTTGAGAATAAAAAAGGTAGCGATCGCTGAGCTTTTGGCTACGTACGAAAGTACATTAGGACTCTCGATCTTAACTCTTCCTCGACTAAATGTTTGCGCATCCAAAGCACCTCCGGCCACTTTCTCATCTTCAAACGCCCTCATTATATCCTCTTTGACCTTTCGGGACAAGAATCTCGCCCCATCTCGGAATATAATAGTAACAGTGTGCTCTTTCAACCACGCTATCTTCACCTGGTCAATATTCCTGTTCACCTTAAAGCGAACCTCTCGACCCTCTCCACTCATCTCTCCAGGGTCGATGCCTGTTGGCATCACTCCATCTTCGTAACAGCGCCTTGCTAATTCTCGCAATCTCACATTATCCTCTTCAGATTCATTTGGAGCCGGTGGGGATCTCGGCCCCCGGTCCATGTTGACTTCCGTCATAGGTGTACCACCACTCGGACTCAGCCCACGTTCCACTTGTCTATCTGACGGCAACACCCAGCTATCGGCAGTTACCGAGTCTTCAACAACACTTCCACCCTAAAACCTATCAACCTGCTTCTTCATGCTCCCTACCTTTCGTTGACTATCAACCTTCCTCATCACCTCGTGTACAAACACTACTCAGGTCGGAGCCGGGACATCGTGTTGGAGAGTGGCATATCACCAAGGCTATGTCACGCCATCATGGCGGCGCCTTGCATCCCTACAACCCTACCGGGGGAGCTATCGCGATGGTAGCACCCCGGTCGAGTCCGTTCCGTTACCGGGTTGCGTGCGCTAGGTCCGAGCGCTGTAGCGCCGGCGGTAGCACACCGGTCCGACCCCCTCCCATTCGAACCATTTCTCAATTCATCGCTCTTGTTTTTTCTTAGATTATGTCTCGTCCAGCAGTCATTCGTTTTGGTGAACGAACTGCTGGGCCGAGATCCCACTAGCAAAAAGTATAGGATCGAGCTCCTGAATCTAGAAGTGTTTTATGAAGGGATGCAGAAAAGCAGTTTAATTTCGGCTTCCTGCACATCTCCGCAACACTGTCCAGATTCAGGCATCGATTCGATCCTCCTTGTTAGTAGGACGGTGCTCTTGGGAGTTGGCTGCTCGTGGCTGAAAAGCCACGAGAAATGATATAACCGTTGGCCAAAGCAAAAAAAAAAAAGTGCCCGTTCATTTTGACGAACAGGCTGCTTCTCCCTTTGATGGGAAGAGCAAAAGCGAATGAATATGCCGCGGAAACGCGGCCACGTTCCGGGTGTGGGGTTTGGGACCTTGTACTTGTGTTACGAGGGACTCTCTGCACACGTTTGGGGGGTTCCCAGTCGCGACCGTCGGCTGCTGGGAGAGAGAGAGAAAGGCCCCCCCCTTTATGGCTGAAGGTTAGTTTGCGCCCTTTCGTCTTAGCAACGGGCTTGAGGACTGCGCCGCACCTGGCGCCATAGGGTGCCTAGGTACAGGCGCAGGCAGGGAGAAAAGGACCCAACTGAGCTTGACACTAGCTTGGCTCTGGGCGGCCGTTCGTTTCAAACGGCAGGTTGCCCCCTCACAAAGAAATAAGGAGGGGGTAAAAAGAAAAAAAACAAAAGAAAGAAAAAATGAAGAGAAAAAAAAAACAAAGAAAAAGTAACGGCCGCGAATGTGGCCGCGGCCGTAGAACAGGTGCGGCCCCTAGAAGCTTCTAGGGGCTGATGGGACCGCATCTGTTAAAGTTGAGCATGCAGTCCTGAAATGGCTTGGTACTGCCATTTTGGACTGCGCCCGGCCGTGGGTGGCGGCCAGATGCACAACCAAAACTAGGGACTTGATTTTCCTAGTGGAACATCAAGATTCCCAGCCCTCGATCGAAGTTCAAATCGAGGGCTAGGCTCAGCCCCGTTTTTTTTGGCTGAGCCTCAAGTGGCTGACCACCACTCCAACCCAACTATAAAAGCAGGGTTGGCCAGCAGCATCCTCACTCAGTTGAGATGTTGCCCACATTCTGACTGAATGTGGAGTACTGAGCAGCATTATGCTGCTGAGGTGCTGAGAGGTGGAGAGGAGTGGAGGTCTGTAGTGAACGCGGAAGTGGAGGCTGCCATAGCCACCCCTTCATTTGGTGGAGTGCAGGGGAGGTGCTGCCTGCACAACACGGCTGCGGCAGCTGTTTTTGCTACGCTGCAGGGGAGGCTCTGCCCGTTTTGCACGGCGACAGTAGGTCTTCGGCAAGCAGTGCAGGGGAGGCTCTGCCCGTTTTGCACGGCAGCGGCAGGTCTTCTGCAAGCGGTGCAGGGGAGGCTCTGCCCGTTTTGCACGGCGGCGCAGTGTAATTTTGCTAGTGCTGCGGAAGCGCTGCCGAAATTTTGCGGCGGCTGCACAGGTTTTAACGGCAGTGGTGCGGAAGCGCTGTCGGTTTTGCACGGCGGCAGCGACGCTGTCAGTAAGGAAGTGTTGCTGTTTTTGGTACAACGGCAGCGACGTTGTCAAGGGGAGGTACTGTCCATTTGGAGGCTCGACAATGGCGGCAGTGCTGCTGGAATTTTGCAGCAGGGTGGAGCCGGGTTTTTGTTTTGATGTGTGATTAGGCGGTGATGCCGCACGGAGACATAGTACCGTTGACGGCGCAGCAAGCAGTGGTCTGTATATTTTTTTTGTGGTGCGCGGCTGTTAAGGTGGATTTCAGTGTGGCCTAGAGGTTGGGCTAGCGTTGGTGCGTGGTTGGGACTGTGCGACAGTGATGTATGGGTCGGCGGCATGAAGGGATCGCAGAGTGAATGCACGTGGCACTGACTATTGGAGTTGCAGCACTTGCGGGTTGCGTCGGAAGAACATCTTTTTTTTGGGGGGCCTCGCGACACATACAGTTTCAAGGGGCCACCTTTATTTTTTGGCGGCGCGCAGCGCAAGCAGGATTTGAGAGTGGGACCATCCTGTGCTGTGGCGGTAACGTGGGACCGTTTGGGACCGTCTGGGACCATTTTGGGACAGGTGAGACCTATTTTGAGATCGGAATCGACATATTGGGGTGGTTATTGTGAGCATACATGGTACCTGGAGAAGACGTGGACTTGCGATTGATTGAGAGTATCCTTAGTGGGAAGTACAGTTGGAACTGTTGGGATCACATGGGACTCATTGTTGGGAACGCCCTCCTGGAGGGTTATCTCACTTGAGTCTTTCAGTGAAGGTGACTTTCGCTCACACGAGCACTCGGAGGGTGAGGTGGCCGTCGTTAAGTGGGACGACCACGAGTTGTGGAGTTGCAAGCTACATATTTCCAGCTTCAACGGCGATCGTCTTCTCAACTTTAACTGGAATACTACTCGGCTTTCTTGAGTGAGCCGGATCAAACTTCACTCAAGGTCAGTCGAAAGACTCAGATTTCCCTTCACACCTGTGTGAAACCACACTTTGCTTGACCTTGTTGTTTTGAATGTTCAAAGGAAAAGGCAGAGGAAAGTTGTGTGAATCATACATGTAAATGGAAAAGTCTGACTTGAGTATGGGATTGTACTGTTTTCTCTTGAACTTGTTTTCTTTGCATGTTGTGCAGGTAGGTAGAAGAATGCTTGCTATGGAGATTGACTTTGCCTATTTGGGATGGAGAAAGGATTGTCATGCTTCTATCTTTCACCTGCCTGCATGACAAAAGTACTTGAATTCTGAAATGACTAATTTCAGCGGGTGGCGTGAAACAAAACTTCTGAATAAAATGAAAATGCAGTCAATGAGACTTAGCATTTTCCCACGATTGACACATTTTACCCGGAATGACCTTCTATATCTATACCTGTCAAAGTGATTCTCATTCTCTATCTCATTCAAATTCTTTACGTCTAAATTACCTTGAACCAAGAAGGAATGAGAATAATTGAAAACTACTTGCAGTGAATACATTCTCTTTTCTCTAGGAAGCATCCAAGGCGGGGGTTCGTATGCTTTCGGAGCCGGCCCTGATATCGACTTGGAGTGGACCCGACTCGTCCGGGGTGGTACTTTGCCGACTCGGTGGTGACGGCCCAACCTCTGAGATCCGGGTCTGCGGGCTCGGGCGAGGGGAAGGAGTATCCACAGACCACTTCCTAGAGGAGAGGCATGCAACACGTCAAGCAATGCCCCTGATCAAGAATCACCCGCGAAGCAACCTGTCATCGAGGAAGATTGAGAATGTATGGATTCAGGCGTATGCTTGTTTAATCATAGGTCGGCGTTAGTTGGAATGAATAACTTTGGCAGCGCGTCTCATCAAGTTAACACTAAGGCAGTCCGAGTACCTGGTCGGTTGCGTCAAAGTTATTATCGGTTAGTCAATTTTTCGTTGGCAGTTGCATAATTGTTTTGTGGAGTTCGACCCGGAGTGGTCGGATTGTGTTGGATATCGTGTTGTTGGATGTACTATATGATGATTGTGATTCTTTCAGTTATCATTTCATATTGGGCATGTCTCTGTCGACTACGGCGACTCTTTTTGGTGAAATTATGTGTGGTTGTTATAACTTCCTGTTGATTGTGTGATAAAGGAACTAGGATTATATTATGGTTGAGGCCGTCCTAGTCGACCGACGTTTGTTCGTACCTAGGAGATCAGCGCCCTAGAGGACGGACAACGTTCGGGTCCACTTGGCGTTAACCAAACGTATCTATACTACGGTGAACGAGCAAACGCCCTCGGCTGACCTACCTCTGCAATTGCATCTAAAAGCTTTCGCACGTGGGTCGGTAGCTCGGTAGGGATACGCCCCTAAGGGTGGTGACAGCCCCTTAGGGAAGGTAGCTTATGCCTCGCGGGAACCTATCCTGTCGTAGGGGATCGCGGGATGTATTGTTGGCGCACCCGGCCAGAGCGGCGAGGGACGATGCAACCACGTCCGTCTCGGCGGCTCGCGGGATTATTTATGCGTCGTTCCCGAGTTGTCTCTAATTTTTTTTGTTTATCTCCTGCGTGACATGGCCGGGAGGGCCCTCGTTCACGCGAGGGCCGATGCGCTCGACAGCGTGACATAGTTTTTGCCAAAGCCCCACAGGTGGTTCCTAGCGATGAAGCATAGGTCTGATGCTGGTGCTTCGTTAGTGCTAACAAAGCACGAACGTGACGGTTTTCCGGCCAGGTTTATAGCTTTTACGTACAAAGAGTCGGTTGGGCCAAACCCTGGTCAACAGATTGGCCAGGTTTGTGTTAGCTTAACACAAACTTAGCTCTAGCAAGGTGCTCTGGATACAACAGAGAGGTGGTGGGTTCTATTCTTTCACCCTCATCCTCTCCTGCCTATGCTCAGCCGTTAGAATGACACCCCCCATCCTTGCCCCTCAATTTAGCTCAGCAAGGGGATGGAGGAATTAGGGGACACTAGTAGGGTTGGATGTAGATGGATGGGGAACGGATGGGGGGGGCGAATATTTTTCTCATCTTTTTTTCTTTTGAGAGAAATATCTGCAGCGGGCCTATCGTTGGAGCTGGTAGGAGCGGGTCAATAGTAGGCCCATTCCATCGAGCCCTGCCATTTGCAGATAACCTATACTAATTAGATGTCTTCCT